TAGAGCTGGGCTTCTCCCTCCTCAGCTTTACTGGGCCAGGTAAACTCCATCCTCCTTGGCCCCTCCTCCCTTCCCTTCATTCACTCTGCAAAGCTTTTGCTGCAGCTTCTGCTCTGTACCTGTGCCTTCCCAGTAGTCAACAGTGCTTCACATCCAGGTGACAGGCTCCCAACCAGGGGGTTTCTGGGTGCTCTGGTGGTTGCTTGGGGTTGAAGCCAGCAGACTTCCTGCATATTTTATCTGTGATGTGCCAAACTAAGACAGATAGGTGCAAGTCAGAAAAACAAGATCCACTCCATGGAGCATTATGACCTCTCTCGAAGAGATGTTTCCTCCTAAATGATATGGAGCTCCACTGCACGGGAGTTCAATCTCTGCTATGTGTCTTTACCTCGCAGACCAGTCAAGTCCCTGTCTTTCTCTGTCCTCTCATGGATTCCTCAGCAGCGTTAAGCTAGAATCAAGCATTGGCGAGTAGCATTTCATGCATTTCGTTATCAATATGTATATATTTCAGTTATTGATAGACGTTTATTTTCTTTATTTATATGCAGTGCTGAGAATCAAACCCAAGGCCTCACACATGCTAGACAGTGTGCCACCCACTGATCCAAAGGCCCAGCCTATTTCACTCATTTTAAAAAATATATTTTTAGTTATAGATGGACACAATACCTTTATTTATTTTCATGTGGTGCTGAGGATCGAACCTGGTTTCTCACAATTGCCATGTGAACATTCTACCACTGAGCCACGGCCCAAGCCCCTGTTTCACTCATTTTTATTTTGGGTCTAGGACTAATGGATATTCAGGATGAGCATGGATGTGGCTGAGGAGGGGTCTTAGATCCCAGGAGTTCCCCAGGAGCATTAGGTGACTGGGAGATGGCTAGATGCCCTCAGAGGGGTGAAAATGGCTAGGAGGAGGAGGCAGACTCATGGACTGCTGGGAGACAGGATTTCATCCCAGGAACACACTTGGTCAGAGAGCCAAAGAGATGTTGGCCTCCCCAGGGAGAAAAAGAAGCATCTCAAGCTGAATTGACAGAGGCTTGTCAACACTAACACAGAATAAAGGCACAGCTTTAAGGCAAAGAAGACATGATTGCCCAGGGAGGGAGTGGCTGAGGGCAGCATGGGCTTAGCCATGCAGGGTCCACAGCCTTGTTATGTGCATGGATAGTAC